AGCCTGATTTCCACATGGCTCCATGTGCAGCAATCGGGCACTGTCCTATCGACCCCGGTTCGGCTGCCCCCACCCCCACCTTCAAGCATGGTTGGTGACTCCTGGGTCCTGTGGTGTGGTCTCGTTTGTGAGAGTTTGGTATTTTAACCATGTTGATGGACTCTTCTCGGGGTTTGGGTCAAAACGGCTTCGGTTTCTGCTTGGGGTCTTTGGCATAATCGGCAATATCATGGCTGGTTGGACTTACCTCCCCCGGTGCAGTGTATGGTCTTCTGGGCAGCAACAGTGAGATGTGGTGGCTAGGGCCGATGAGGGTCGGCCCAAAAGAACCCGGACCAGAGCCCTGCAGGCCAAGTCGAGCCAAGAGGCATCCCACCGGAGCTCTGCCATCTCCCGATAGACTTGCTCCAGATCGCTTGGTCGGGTAGTCTGTGCTATCCGGTCAGATCCCTGGCTTCAAGCAGCCTCTGCGCTCAGTCATTCTCTCACACTTCTCATCACTTCCAGCCTGCAACGTGACGGAAGCGCACTCCTGCAGGTACCTTGGTGAGAGGGCTCTGAAGATGGTCTCCGCTGAGGGCAGCTGAGAAATGCACTTCTGCAGCAATGCCTGCTCCTGGACGGCCAAGTGCCAGCTCGCAAAGACCTGCTCTGATGGGTTTGAGCACAGAGGACTCCCTGAACCAAGTACCGGTGCACATCCGTGATCCGTGTCTGGTGCACCTTTCGGATGCGGGCAGCATTCGCAGCTTCGCATCGAACCCGCACAGCTGTGCTCCACTCGGCAAAAGCTCTGCCTGCCGCCTGGGAGGCAGAGAATTCCGCGAAAGACGAGAATGCCAATGCAGGCTCGAGTTCAGAAGACTCGCCTTTCGGCGGGAGCGTCGGCGAATATCATCTGCCTTCGCATGCTAACATCAATGGCTGCACAGAGAAGCACTAACCGCACTTTCAGTCGCCGAACCTGCAGCAACCGGCGAGTCTCCTCGCGGGCTGGGGTTGTTAGCTGCACAAGGCATATATCATCCCGCACCAGATGCACAAAACATCGATACCCCGAAAGACTTGACAGGTGAGTGCATGTTTTCGACTCCTGCATGGCCATGGACCGTGCGGCCTTTTGACAAGAGTTGCACCACAAGCTTCGCGCCAGAAAGTGATTCCATGCCACTGCCTCCGCCCAAGCCGTCAACATCTGCGCACCGCAGGACTGCCTTAAATGGATCCCGAGTTTGTAATGAGCAGGAGCCTCCAACCAAGCAACTGGAGCTCTGTCTCCCTCGTCCAAAAAGAGCTCAAGAGCCCGGCTTCCACTCATCAAAGAGTTGGCTTCCTCGCTCCTGGGCCACAGCAACCTGAATGAAGCGTTCCACGCACTGGGGTGCTCGTGTGTGTGTGTGTGTGTGTATATATATATATATAATGCTAATGATACATATGTTATAAAAAATAAAGTGAAAAATGGTATCCCCCCAGGTGCCCACAGCTTTGTTTCTCGTTCAAGGAAAGTCTCTGACTTTCGCATGCCTCATTGCTATGTAGCTTGCTCATTCCGGATGTCGTTAACCGAAAAAAGCAAAACACTGTTCCCTCGGAAGTAGCACTGTTCCACCAACAGGCACCATTCCTGCAAAATCAAAAAATCACAAAATTCAATATCGCGGAGATGCCAGAACCAATTTTGGAGTTTTGGATTCGCATGGAAATCCAAAAATCCGAAAATCCATCTAGCATCTCCGCCATAGCAGTGGATTGTTGGATTTTGCAGGAAGATGAAGTCTGTGGCTGCGCATGCGTCTTGCGCGCTTGCCTACAGGGAGTTTGCGCGAGGCTTTTCGATCGAATGCAAATCACGAGAGGGACAATATATTTTGAGTGCCTGTGTTCCAAAGATGTTTTCAAAGCAATTTTGACGAGAGACTCCTGGACTCCAGGGGGTATGTTTTTCAAGAGCTGGTGCCTCAAGACCATGCAGCGCAACTACGGCTTCTGTACATTCGCAACATGTTCGTCTCTGACCCAGCTGGTGGTCGTTCACAAAGTTTTCGTATGTCGCCCAGCTGATGGTCATTAGCCATTATTCCGAAGCAAAACAAAGTTCATAATGCATCTTTGTAGGCTTCTACTAAATTTAGGATTTCTCGTAGTAGTATCGAGCGTTGAAGATTTCCTGAATCTAACAAGCCATCTTCAATTACTCATGAACACTCACTGTTCAACTGCCATGTTTCCGCTATAGCATCATCTTGTTAATGTTAGCAGGCAAGCTTATGTACTCTCGTGTACTAGCTGAGGTCCAACATGGTAAGCAAACAACACCAATTTAAAGACCATTGCCACATACTTTAGGTTTTTTGCCAGTGAATATCCAAGTAGCGTAGCATCTAACAACAAGATAGATCGGTTGTGTACTGCAGTAAAGAGACCAAGTACAAAATCAAACAAGACGTAGTAGTTGAAGCAGTATCGGTTCATCGCTTAGATAGTAAAGCAATGCTTCAATGAAAAGGAGAGAGTAAGAACTGCGAAGATGTGCCGGGCTCATGTCGTCGCCACATACTGTACAGAACGTCAACTATGCAGAAGGAGAGTATGAGCTAACTTAACCTAGGTAATGACGAAGCACAGAGTAAGTATCAGTTACAAGTGTATTGGTATGGAAGACCGACGTCTAGACGTCTAGCTAAACATGCGCTGCACAAAAGTTGCTGTACGATTTGATTCTGATTTGCAGCATACTGTGTAATATTTTTGGTAACAGTCACATTTAATCATTTCTTAAGCATATACGAGTGAAACGTTAGTCAAACATTATGTAAGCATGAAGCAATAAGCACATGCTAGACACGAAATCATTGTCTCACATAGTTGTATCCGTCATTGGACATCAACTGGTCATCCAAAAAAGGTCCATACATATTCGATAAGTGCTACCTGTGATACGACTCTTTGATTCGATGGTATGAGAACAGGGACAAACAAACATCCGCTCGATATTCGTACACAGTTAACCACCGAAACCCAAGTTTGCTTCAATACCCAAACACCTCACTGTCCTTGTCAGGCCTTGCGGTCTTGCTGCTTTAGTTGCAGCATGAAAAAACCGATCGGATTCGCTTGTGGAAAAGATGACAACGCCACTGGCGATGACGGCAACTTGTAATGCGAGATTACGTCTGTCCTGTACAGGCCTGATGCAAACGAAATGCTGAGAACCGATGTCGCACACGCATGAAGCTTGTTCCCACTCATGCAGAAAGCTATGTCATGCAGCCCTTATTATAAATAAATGACAATGAATTTGGCATCCACTTCTTAATTTGTAAGCTATAAATTCGTGTAGTATTTCTATAACTAAAATCCAACGGCCGGTTGTACGATAGCGTGTCTTACGACTCCATGAGATGTGGCATCATGGT